TATTTCATGAATTGTTCTTTTGGTGTTATAGCTAAAAGTTTTGGGCATTTCCAAAGTCATTTAGAGTTTCTCCTATGTTATCTTTTAGGACTTTTATAATTTTGCATCCTACATTTAGGCCTGTGATCCATTTCAAGTTAATTTTTGAGAAGGGCGTAAGGTCTAGGTTAATTTTAATTTTTGCATGTAGATGTCTAATTATTCCAGCACCGTTTGTGGAAAGACTATTTTTGCTCTGTTGTATTACCTTCCCTTCTTTGTCAATTGTGAGTGACTATGTTTATGGAGACCTGTTTCTGGACCCTAGTCTATTGAATTTATCTATTTGTCTATTCTTTTGCCAGTATCATACTGTCTTGATTACTGTAGCTTTACAGTAAGTCTTGACATTGGATAGTGTCAGTTCTCAAACTTTGTTCTTATTCATCAATACTGTATTGGCTATTCTAGGTCTTTTGTCTATCCATACAAACTTTATAATTACTTTATCAGTATCCCCAAAATAACGTGCTGGATTACATTGAATCTATAGATCAACTTGGAAAATCATGACATGTTGACAGTATTGAGTCTTCTTATCCATGAGCTTGAAATGTATCTTTGCTTATTTAGTTCTTCTTTAATTTTGTTCACATTATTTTTAATATCAGGAATGAGTGCAAGAATGAGTAGGAATTACTAAAGAAAATATCAGAAAAGAACATTTGATGACCTGAATTTATCAAATCTCTTATCATTACTTAATTAAATCCAAAAGTATGGCAAATTCGATCTGTAGTTTATCCAAACAAACAATTAAAAGCGTTCTGTCATTTGACTTACATGTCTCATGAAAATGCTATTAACATGGTCAGGAAAACAAAGCAGATGCTTTCCTGTCTTCCCCAAAGAAGCTTCCATCATGGATTTGAGCCATTTCATTTTTATCCCATAAAGTGGAGAATAATATCAAAGTCTGCTTTAAACAATTAAGTTTTTCCCAGGTATTTAATTTAGTAAATGAATGCAAAATATTGTTTAAAAAATAAGGAGCTCTCCATCAAATAAATGTCTTTCTCTGGTCATTGAGTGGGGATAAAACTGCATACAGTTTCGAAATGTAAAGTAAAAGCTGGCAATTACATAGTCCAATCCCTTACATTTATTCATGAGGATGGAAGGACCAGGAAATCAATGACAAGGCCAAGAGAATACAAGTTATTTCATGGCTCAGATCAGATCAGATCAGCCTGGCTCCAAATTCAGCATTTGGGGATTTCTGGATGACTTTACTCTCACCTATATTGGGGAAAAATTTCCAAAATTCCAGACAGACATTCTAGAAACTTGATGTTAGAGAAAGGCATTCTAACTTAAGAGTTTAGTAGCAGTTAGGAAGTGCTACCAAAAAAAAATACTCAGAAAAAGATTTTTCTAAGAACAGAGTAATTTCCTCCAAAAGACCACCATTAAAGCCTAGAACTCAGAGATCAGTAAAGGAGTCTGTCTCCAGAAGATTTTATTTCTGCACAGCTAATTTCAATCATGTATCTGGGTTGTGCTCAATCTTTGCCACAGATAGGAGTGTTCCTCCTCTTTCAGAAGCTGTTTCCATCCTGTTCACTGTTCTCTCTCCAGAGCCTACAGCAATGCCAGCCCAGGAGTAGCCAGTTGGTAAATATTGTTACAAATATTTATAAATATTTATTGAGTCAATTAATTTAGAAAGAATTATACTTCAATTAAAAAATTATCCCAGCAAATTTGTTTTAAAAGAATCTTTCAAGATAAGATTTTAGCCTTTACCATTTCCCGAAGTTTTTTAAATAGCATCAGTGGATTTTTTTTTTTTTTTTTTTTTTTTTACAAAATAACAACAGGTCCTATTCAGTGGCCACTTGCTATGCACCAAGCACTGTACAGCATTATTCATCTATTTTTACAGTTTTTCTTCACACAGCCCAATCAAGCAGGTGTCATTGTTTTCTCCGTGTAACTGAGGCATGGAGAAGCTACGTAACATGCCCAAAATGATTCAAAAAGGTACAAACTTAGAGCTCAAAGCCTTAGCCAGCCCATTATTGTCAGGAACCACAGCAGAGGGCTTTGCTCAAACCTGCATACATGGAAACTCAGGACCCTCTTGCTTTCTCTGCCAGTTCTAGGTTTGGTTGTTTGCCCTAAATGTATCATTTGTGGATGCTCAAAATACGTCTGCAGTTGTGTCTGTAGGAGCGCTGTGACTAATGTTGTATGCAAGGCTGTGTAAACTTTGGATGAGGCAAATTGATTGTAATAGAGAGCTATAATACATGAAGATAGGAAGTGTCAGTAAGACCTATATTGCCTTCAAATTGAGAATCTCATTTAACTAACAAAAGCAAATAAATTCAAAGTTATAACTGTAACTCTAGATAAGGCTCATTCAGGAATTTTAGGACCTGGAAATAGTCCATAATCATAAGTGTTATATTATATGTATTATTGTACCTAGACAAATTAGAATTTATTCCATGAAAATGACTAAGAAGCACTTTATTCCCTTCCTAAACAGAAAGGATATTTTCACAGAATTTTTAAAATCACATTTCCACTTTTCATGAACATAACCAAAAAAAAGTAGTACACTTAATTGACGTTTGCGGAAGATGTGTCTTAAACCACTAAATTTCTTCTGTGACTGACTGAATTTAACAACATAGTATATTTTTGTATGCTCACGATGAACATGGTTACTACAGTCCAACTAGCAATTATTCAGCTCATCTTAAATCTATTTTTCAGACAGCTGAAAATTAGTATTTAATTTAAAAATGTTTTGGAATTCTTACCTTCTTTCCCTCACTCACCTTTTTCTCAATGCACTTTAATTCATCGAAATCATTTTTTGTATAGGCTTTTAATATGTGGGTTAGTACATAGAAATGATTTGTGGCTGCAAGCAGAACTAATAATTGCTATATAAGGTAAGAGTTGTCTTGAATATTAATTATTTTTAGGATTTTCATATCTATGATACTAATATTTCTTCACTCAAATTAGATTTTATTTTATTTGTGATAACTGTAAGAATGAACAACAGAGCTCTGATAGAATGATTAAGAGATAACATATGACCAACAATTCCACTCCTAAGCATGTGTCCAAGAGATATAAATACATGTACCAAAAAGAATTATTCAAGAATTTTATTGAACGATTTGCTTTATTTGTAATAATCCCAAACTGGAAAGAACTGAAATATCCACCAATTGGAAAATAAATAAATAAATTGCAGTACTATATATTTACATGATTGAATATAAAATAGAAATTAAAAATAGGACAACTATCTAATCTACACAGTAATGTGGATTTATCTCAAAAACATTACAATAGTGTGAAAGAAACCAGCTATAAGAGAGAATACATTTTGTGATTCCATTTATATGAAGTGCAATAAAATAAATGACATTAGCAAAGCTAATAAATGATGACAGGATTCAAAATAGTGTTGACTTCTAGAAGAGGAATGCTAATCAACACAGAATACATACAGAGAAACTTTCTGAATTGCTGGAATTTTTCCTATCTTATTCTGTGTGGTGATTACACAACGGCATAAAAATCTAAAAATGTATCAAACTGAATAGTTAGCATTTGTCTATCTACTGTACATAAATTATACTTCAATAAAAAAATTATCACTCTGAACATTGTTTTAAACACACCTTGTTTTACAGCTATGTCGACAGTTGATGCACCTAGGCCTACTTCATTACTTTAATAGTATCTATCTAAAGAAAAGATGATTTAGGCTCTAATAGAGTTTGGCTTGGCTGATGGGTGTGATGACATAACACTAACTACTGTAACAAATACGCTTTCATATTTCAGTGGCTTACCACAGAAGAAGCTGATTACTCAATCACTGAAGGGTCCAATGTGAATCTTACCATTCTCCTCTGTATGGTGTTTTAGGGACCCAGGTTCCTTCCAGCTTGTGGTTTACTAGTTCCTGCCCAGGGGCCCCAGAATCTTATACCACCAGGTGGAAGACAAGAAGAGAGAAAGAATGCAATTAGGGAATTTTCTAGGTTTCTAGCTGGTGACATGCATGTTTTACTTAAGTTTCTTCTTATCAGCCCAGTGTACAGCAGCCCCTGAAGCAAGGAGCAAGGGGGATGTCTCATGACTCCCAGAATGTGTTCACATTTTGTAGCCCAGTGACTCCTTCTCCTGCTTAGAGGTAGCATGATGTGCTGCTTAAGAGTCCATCCCTGTTCGGGTCATTCCTTTGTTTCCAACAATCTGGTAAAATCCGGTCTATTCTTGGACTATTTCAAATGCACCTAGTTCTGTGAAATCTTCCTGATTTTTACCCTCACTTTACACCCACATCTTTAACTTCCTGACCTCAAGTTCCTTAATGTATACTAGTTATCTTTGACACACAGAAAATTCTAACAGAATTTTACTTCTCTTATTAGACTCTGGTAACATGAGGGCACAGCAGAGTGGGGACTAGGGTAAGGCAAGCGAGGCCTTGGATGTAAAATTCAAGGGGATGTCCAAAATCTCAGTAATCAAGAGAAATTATATTTTAATACAATATTTTAAAATCAAAATTAATGCAACCATTGTCCCAGATGAACAATATATCAAATTTTTAAATAAAGACTGGTTCGGACCCTGCGCTGCTCTCATTCACTTCAGTCTGATCCCAGCCCTTTTGGATCCTATGTTTTATTCGTCTTCTAACCCAGTTATTGTTGAATGAATGAATGAGTATATGAATCTCTTGAAATGATTCATTAGCTTGAAATGTAAAGATCCTGGCAATGAAGATGGATAGCTATGGTGAAATGTGCTCATGGGTCATGAAAACAGTTTGGTTATGTCTTCTGAAATCTACAGGATTAGGACTGCCCTCAATCAGGTCCCCTTAAAATTCTCCTTCATTGTCCCCACTAGTGTAAAATCGGGGGGGGGGGGCCGGGGGGGCGGGGGGGCGGGGAAGATGCATGCTCTATTGGTAACCATTTGTTACCATCATGCAGCCTGTGAGACTGCCCTTCGAGGGCCCGTTCAACTGGAATCCTAGCAGTTCATGTTGTTTCAATAACGTCGCATTAAAATTGTCCTCCCCATTGTTCTAAAACATTATTACAATCACAGTCGCATGAATTGTTTGAGTCATGCCACATTATTTATTTAATGTTTTAATTTACTCGGTACTTCAGAAGTTTCCAGGCCAAATGAGATCAGAAAGGCAAAGCCGTTTGAACAACGGGAAGCAACAGTGTTTGTTATAATTCATTCTCTGTACCGCATTTCCTACTTAGGAAGGAATTTAGCTCCAAGTTATACTCAAGAAGAGAAAAAAATAAAAAGTTCCAGCAGTCTTTAAGGCCTATCGTGCACCTTTCAGATGGAAGATTGACATCACCCTTATCTACACACCACCACCACCACCACCAGCACCTCCACCGTCTGGCCTTATTACAAAAGTTGTTTACCAGCTCTTGGGCCCCTGCCATGACCAGTCAACTGTTGTGGCCGATCAGGGCCAGGCTGTTTTCTTCAGTGGCCAACGTTTTCACTCACAGTTAGCCACCAGGGGGCCCCCTGTTTGGAACAAATGGTGAGACTCCAATAAGCTTTCCTCCAAAGGAACCAAAACACCCCGGGGCAGCCAGGGCGCAAAGCTAGGGAACTTCCCCGCAAAGAACAACTCACCAGCCACAAACCTGCAAGTCCTATGGCGCAGCCTTATTACGAGTAAAGAAGAAAACACGGATGTATCGCCAAGGACGGAGGGGAAATAGGATCCCTGGAATTTCAAGGGAGAGGTCCCTCCTCTGGCCAGAGAGCCTTGGGGTCTTCCACTCGCCTGGGGAAGCTCCCTGAAACTGTACATCAGGCGCTTGGAACGGTTTCTAATTTCCTGACAGTGGTAGTTAATGCTGTCTGCAGGGGTGGTGGCATCTCGCCCCCTTTCCGTGGGATGCCTCCCAGAAGCTGGAATAAAACACACGCCACTGTCTGGCAATCCAGAAAAGTCTCCAAAAAAATGATCTATACATTGTTCAAGCAGTTGAGGTTTCATACAAATCGTCCTAGCTCTCTCACATTTATTATACACATGTATATTGACTCATGAAGTCGGAATTATTTTAATATTACCTACAAGAAAATAATTATACCCTGTCGTCAAAATAGTTTCGTTGCAACTGTGTAGCTTCTGAACCACTACCTTTTCGCTTTGGGGGTACTCAGTATTTTTACTGCTTCATTTTCTCCCAATCTGAATCCTTGGCCTTCAGGACTCGGGGGAGGCGGGGGGGCACCTTAGACATTCCTATTTGCCTGGGCAGAATTTTTCGAGTAGACATTAGTTTTGTCTTCCGGCTTTCTTTGTACGTATCCAGGGCAAAGACACATGAACAGGGCGGCCCTCTGGAACCTGTGGAGTGCCTCAACCCCAGCACACATCTCCCAGGATATGCCCAGAGCTGGGAAGGAGCGTCTCCCTCCAGGGCAAGCCAGGTCCTCTGCAAACTTCCATTCCCGAGGTGGCCAGGGTAAGAGAACACCAGACGCCGCGCAGGGTGGGAGGCCCCGCGAGGAGCCAGTGCGCCGTGTCTACCCGGCAAGCGCCACAAGTTGTTTGGAGGAAAAAAAAAGGGAGGAGCGCGGCCCGGCAGGCAAAATCAAGCCGTACTTCTGGAAGTCACCTCCTCCCCGCCCCCGGTCACTCGTTCCCCATTTCTTCCACTTTGCCTACTGGAGGAATGACGCCCAAACCCGAACGTCCGTGCTCACACAGCCGGGTGGGTGAGCGCGCTGCCACCAACACCCACCGGGGCGACATCGCCACCGGGGCCAGGGCACCCCGGGTGGGAGGCACCAGCGGGGCTGGGAGGCGGGGGAGCGGCCGAACCTGGGGAGGCAGGTGTGGGGCCGGCCAGCCGGGGTGGCGTGCACGCAGGGAACCGGGGTCGGGGGACGCGAGCCCGGAGCGGCCGACGCGTCCGACAGCCGGGCGGGAGGCGGCGGCGGCGAGACCTGCGGCCGGGAGGCCATTTCCTCGCTACGCCCCTGGCGGAGCCCGCTTTGCCTGCTCCGGGCTGTCGCCGCCGCGGAGCCGAGCGCCGGGAGGGCTGGAGGGGAAACCAGGTCACCGGTTCGCAGACGCGGCGCGCGGGGCGTGCGCCCGGGGCTCGGAGGCAGGCAGCGCCGGGGCGCGGACCGGGGCAGGCCGGGCGCGCGGGGGGCCGCGGGGGGCGGGGACTCCGGCGGCCGGGCCACACTCGCTGCCTCCGCCTATAAAAGTGGGGTGGCCGGGGAGCGGGGGGCCGGCGGGGCCCTGCGGCGGCCGCCCCTCTGCGCCCCAGGAGTTGACATTTTTCTGGACTCGCGCGACGTCCCGTCGCCGGCGCTCCCGGGGACCCCGCCGCCGGCAGGAGGGGGCGGAGGAGGGTGGAGACTGCGGGGCTGGGCCAAGGAAGGCGCACATCCTCGGGCGGGCGGCCGTGACGCGGCGGGGATGAACTTTGCATGAATAATGTGAGTGCGCCGGGCGAGGAGACCTTCTGCTCCCCGGGCTCGGGGCGAGCGCCCGCCGCCGCCTTCCCCGGGCAGGGGCGCGCCACCCATAGCGGCTCCAGGACACCGGCAATTTGGCGAGAGGACCGCGCGCGCGGAGGCCGGGGTGAGGGGGGTGTCGGGGGGCGGGGGGGAGGGGCGACAGTTCCAAATGTCCAGAAGGGTGGGCAGGATGGTGACCGGGGTGTCGCGGGACCCTGAAGGGGTGCGGCCGGCCAGCTGAGCGCCTGCGGGCGGGCGGGCGGGCGTGGGTGGGTGGGGGTGTCGGTGAGCCGCCCTGTTACCTGCCTCCGCGGGGTTTCTGCGCCCCGGGTCTGGGAGGATGTGCCCTCTGGCGCCGGGGCAGCGCGCAGCGGCGCTCCCGGAGCCACGGCGTGGGCCGTGGCAGAGCTGGGTGCCCGCTCCCCTCGCAGCGGCTCTGTGTCTCAAACCCCAACCCGGCTGTTGACAGGCTCCTTGTGAAATGGAGTTTGGCATCCTCGGCGCCGAACCGAGTGGAAGTTTCCATGATGAGGAAGTTCTGTGACACGGGAATTCGGAAAAGGTTGGCAGACACGGGGGTGGGGGGGTGCGGTTTAAAGGGACTGTGGGTCCCCCATCCCCCTTTTTGCTCCTGCCCGGGAACTGCCGGGTTTGGAAAGGAGAAGAATCCTGAATATTGGCGTGCGCTGTCACCGGTGCCTGGCTACTTGGCGTCTCCCCGCCTCCTCTGCGAGTCCGCGGCGATCTCGCCAGGCTCCCGAGTCGCACTTCTTTGCCTCGCTTCTCTTGACGCAGCATCTCCGTCTGAGTGGCCCGAAGTGGGTTCTGATACCAGGAGTTGTGCCAGCTGTGTGCCCCCCCTCGCCCCCCCCCATCCCCCAGAGTAGGACTCATTTGGGGGGAGTATTTTTTTACTCCTCGTGGATTTTGTCCTTAGCTGCTGTGGTCACTTTGGAAAAGGATTTCCCAATGACCATTGGAGGGTTATTATTAGTGCTAAGTCTTAAGCCTCTGATTTGTTGGGGAGAGGGAGCATGGGGTGAGTTTTTAGTTATTAATTTTAAATGTCTAATTTTCCCCAAGTGGGAAACCGTCAAGGGTCTAGTAGAAGCATAACAATTTGTAAAGTGAGTCAAAGAAAAGAATTTATCTGCACAGATAAGTTCAGATTCTTCATTCTCCCCCCTCTCCGCACAGATTTAGGATTCATGAAGATTCAAACAGGATCCCCTAATCAGTAAACAAACAAACAGACATTGAAACAGCCTACCTCTTAGCAGGTTACTGGTCTCAGGTGCTAGTGAGATTGTTTTAAAGACCTGTTTTGAAGTTCAAACACCTAAAGCACAGCAGGAACAGGTGTATTGGGTAATGTAGACCTTGGGCAATATCTTTACATTACTTTGCCTTCTATTAGTTGAGTATCCTTATTTATATTGTAAAAATATATAGCATGCATTGGATTACAAAGTAAAACTTGCCTTTTAGTCAAAATATTCCATGATTCATTCTGACTATTCACCGTGACTGCTCCCTCATTCACTTGTTTACCTCTCTTATTCTGAAACAAGTCAGGGACTAGGAAACATTTTTCTCTTAAAAAACGGTGTTTTGATGAAAAGTATTTTTGAGTAATGGATGTTTTTAGTTTTGGCTAAGTGTTTTAATTGACTCTAACAGAAATTCAATACTAAGTGATTTATTTGGGGTTTATATGGGATGGCATTGGTGAACAACCATTTATTATTTGTGATTGTTAAATAGATACTATCCGAATTCAATTTTCATGAATTTCAAAGTTTTGTTATATATTAGAAGGAGGACCATCTGCTAGTAAATATGATTTGCTTTTCTTTTCCAGCAAGTGGAAGTAAATGATACTGAATCTAGCCACAGAACTATATTTTATGAAGCAATTCCTGTTGGCATTACAATTCAAAGGCATAATTTTATTGACATTGAAATATTTGTTTTATAAAATAACTGACTTTCGAAGAGTAATAAACATTCCATTTCTCCTCTAGAAATTCTTTGTAGTAAATTCTGCTATTAAAATAAATTTTAATCTACATCTTTGAGAAAAGGTTATTTCTTAAAGTTTCCTTAAGAAAGTTGTGGATTCCTTTCCTTTTCTGTTTTTTTTTTTTGTTTGTTTGTTTCTTTGTTTTGTTCTGTGTATTTGGGTGGTGGTGGGGTGCAATTATTTGAAGCACAGGTGTGTGGAGCCACACATGGGATTCCACATTTCTTTTTTAGTAAGCTCATCTTTGTGATGGAAATCAGAGTAAAGGTGGTTGGTTTGTTTAGCTCCTTTTTTGTCATTCTAGTGTAAGATTATGTGTCACCTTCTTAAAAAGCCTTTCCCTGACCACTTGAGTAAAGGCCATCCCTCATTCCTTCTGAGACACTGGTTTTTGTCCCCCCCCCCCCCATCCTTGGTTTTATTTGCAATCTGAATTGTTCATTTCAATTGGCTCATTTTATTGATTACCTATCTCCTGTGTCTAGAATAGAGTCCATGAGAAAAAGTATCTTGACTGCTTCATTCACTCTTGATCCTCCAATATCTTGAACCATGCTTGGCACACAGTAGGTGCTGGGTAAATCTTTGTTGAATAAAGGAATAGTTGCGCCCAAACATTGTGTTCACCAAAACACCCGACTAAGCATCCTAAATGGGTACCAATTGGGTAGGCCAAGATCTGTGCCTGTATATGTGTGTGCCATGTATATATGGGTCAATCTTTGTTTATCTCTCTCTCTTTTAAGATGAAAGCTAGCCCCATTTAGGTTAGTGATGATACAGAGTTATTTCTGAGAGTTTTTCTTGGGGGCATTTGCCTTGAGTACATGGAATCCCTCAGCAACAGTTTGCCTTACCTAGGTCCCTGAAGACTTTGACCTTCAACATGCTGGGTTGCAGCAGAATTTTTATGCATTCCAGAGGTATTGTCAGTGCTAAGAGTGAAATTCCAGGAAATAGACATCACTGGGTGATAGCTATGCCTTCTCACTCAGCAGGTTCTAGCAGTATCTCTAGCTGATCTACAAAAGTGGTGGTTGGGGAAAGGGCAGATGAGACTGTCAGGATCCCACACGAGGTAGAAATAGCCTGTGGAAGTAGATTGGAAATAACCTGGTGGTTACTCTGTACCCTCTCCCTTTGCCCCCTTTTCCCACTTCCATAAGCAGATTTTGAACCAAATGATTATGGGAAATATTGCATTATCTGAGTTTGCAAGTTGACTGAGCTGTGGTACCCAAGGGGTTATCTTCAAATTAGCTAGTCGTGGGAACTTTTTTGACAATTGAGATTAAAAGGAAGTTACAATAAATGATTATGGAAATTTGTTTTTCTTTATAGAGTATCGACTCTCAGAAACGTGTCTGAGTAAATCTAAAAGGTCTACAAAATGATGAAACTGGTAAAAATGGTAGGGGACAAAAGATAAACTGAAATCTTAAGTGCTTATTGCTTTTGAGTATTTAATTTAGCCCTGAGCTTCTCAGTAGCCAAGTTCAGAGAGAGAAAAAAAGGGAACTGGAGGACCCATTAAAGTTATAAGGATATCTCAGATAACATTGGCAGGGTGCTTACTATAGTGCCTGACTACTAGTATATACTCCTATGAAATATCAAATCACATAATGGCCAATACTTGAACTTCAGTTCTCCAGAAAATGAAGTAAAGATTTTATATGATCACGTTTTTCACCAACCCTAGAGAGAAAAAATATGCAGAAAGCAGAATGATGTAAAGTAACCCAGTGGGAGTTTATCTTTGGAGATAAGCTAAGCCATGGTCCAGCAGTGGAGATCCTGAAGATTGTCCCCAAGGTAGAAATAGAGCTCAGAAAACCTAGAGGAATGAATGGTTGACATGTTCTTTAGGCTGACTTTCTCAAATATCCAGTGTCACGGCCAAGCTTTTCACTAAAGCAATCTGAGAGGACAGGACAGCCAGGTACTTGAAAATGACACTATGACCACAACCTCTCTGAACAGATGGCCTTGGTGCTTCGTGTTTTACTTTGTCTAGCTCCTGTCTTCCTGTACAGCAGCTTGTTTTTAGTGTCCATTTCTACCTCCCCACGGAAATTGTGATGAGGGGCTATGGGTTATTCATCCTTGACTCCCGGCACCTAGCAGAGTGTTTCACACATGACCCAGGGAAACACTTGTTCAAAGAATCAATCTAGGAGGAGAAGGGGTGGTGCCTATCTTTCTCTTCTGATTTTGAAATTAAGTGTCATCTTATAACTTGATTTTGCCCAAAATGAATGTTTGCTGCCTAGATTGCATCATATCCCAGCTATTTTGCTTTAAGGGCTTAGTCTAGTGTCTGAGGTGGTTGAGTAATGGGTGGCAAGTTAACTCCTCGCTTTACTTAAAGTCATTTTGATTACTGGATTTGATTCCTCATTCAGCCTACACAAATCTGTGTACCTACTATGTGCCTGGCCTTGCTAGTCATTTTGTAGCTCAGCATCGAGCCCAGTGACCTTTGAGGCAATGTACATATATTAATACAAAGAGATTCTGAAATGGTCTACACTGTGATAGAATGGATCTGCTTATTGGGATCTCTTATATGGCCCCCTAGATGAAATAAAGTTATTTTGGTCTGAGGAAGTGATTGTTTATAGTTTCAGTAGCCCAAGTGTATTAGTGTAAATTGCAGTGGGATTTGCCCAAGACTCTCTTGGTATCCACATGGTGTGGGGATTAAATATGTTTAGGCCACTAAGTCTCTGATTAAGGATATTCACTCTCCACTTTAAGTTCCCTAACTTATTAGTCAAGTGACATTTAAGTAAGTACGGGGGGAGGGAGACTATCCAAATCACTGAGTCACAAGTAGTGTATTTCCATACACTCCTCTAAGGAATCTGGCCAACCGACAGCTAGAATAGTGATCTAGGTCCAATGCTAATGTTGGTTTGTCCATACTGCCCTAATTTCAAGGGACTTTGAAGACTTTATGGACTGGCAGCTCTTGTGCAGCACTATTTTTATTGACCAAGAAACTGAGCTCCATTGTGAATTTGGATAATTTTTCCAAATGGCAACTCCGGAAAGTCTGGAATTAGGACCCAGAACCTTGTCTCTCTGTCCCAGGAAGCATAGTATAGCCTTTACACTGTACAGACAGACACATATATACATATAACATATACAATCATATGTATATTATGATATATGTATATGCTAATAATATGTAATGTGCATATAACATTATAATAATATAACAGTATTAATAATTACATATACATGTATGTACTTGCTCAGATGGGGCACACATAGCAGTTAGGAAAGGATTGATCTGAATTAAGTTATTCATTCAAATTCCTCATCCCAAAAGACAGCCTTTAAGGATTATGGCTCCTCTTTTGTGATCAAGAATTTAGAGATTTATTCAGAAAGCTGATTAAAGTAAAAGCTTGGACAAAGGAATGCACATTAACAGCAGGTATGCCTTCTTAATTTGGGAAACATACTTGTGTGACTCCTCTGGTGGCTCAGGAATGTTTGAGATGAGAAGAGTGAAAAGATAGTCATGGTTTTAGTGGCATAATGTATGGTTATGACATTCAGGAACCCATTGAGTATGCTGATTCTTGTGGCAGATATTGTTCTGTCATTCTCAGGATGGCTCAGATATACATTTCCTCTCTTTTTGTTTCTCTTCGAATACTGTTTTCCCAGATTTCAATAATGGTTGCACAGAAGGGGTGCTCAAAAACAATGTTGATAACAATCATGCCATTCCTGGGTTTGGGTCAGTTTTTCATATTTCTCTTCCACACGCTTAAAAGTCTCGCCTACTTGCACGTCCATACATGCA